TCTTAAAATAACTGTTCAGAACTTAAGTCGAAATATACATGTTTGTAAGTGGTGATATGTATTAGTTTATATTGAGTAAAAACTTTGAACCGTTAAGTGAAAGGGTTTCGAAATCATTTTGTTGTGGTTTTTTGTGGTTTTTTTTTGCAGTGAATTTCACTTACTTCTTGACCGTCAAGGAATGGTTTCAGCTTTAAAAGCAGTGCTCTTTCAAGGAGTTTAGAAAGACATGATAGTAAGCTAATTAGTCTGTATAAAGAGGTAAGAATCGGATCTTTTTTTGATTTATGAATCATTTAACTATGGATGTTTTCCACTCTGTTAGGTAAAAGCCAAATTTAATGATGGCATTAAAAAGTGATAAAATCGTTGTCAAATTCATGGACAAAAATGGGTAAGATTTTATCATGATGGGTGAGATGTTATCATATCCTGGTGCCTTTTTGCAGTCTAATTTGTTGGTAGTTATTTGAACAAAATCAATGTCCGTCATTTTCATGTCAATTTTTATGGTGCATAAAAAGATTGAGTGGGAAAATCGTAATGTCCTGTTTCAGGATATGGTTGGAATATCTCTTTTAAGTAATCAATAAATGCGTTATTCATCGCTTCGCGCCCCGCTTTCAAAAAATGTTTCTGATGTTATGTTTTTAAAATCTCTAGATTGTATAACTGCAGAAAAATAAAAACATATATGTAGAAGCTTACTTTTTGTGTTTTTAACATGATATTGTCAATCCTTAAATCTCCCCTCATTTTTGAATAACCTTATAATATTACAGGTGAGGCATTTCTGTATTGTGCAAATATAAGTTACATATATAAGTTATAACGGTTATAAACCAATCTAATCAGATCTCAAACAGTTTTTGTTTTTTAGAGTAAAGTAATAAAGTATGCAAGTGCATTTGTGTAGCATTTTTGTGATGTAATAAGCTTTTATACTCGTACATTACTATATAAATCAATGATATACTTGAATAAGGTTTGTTACTGCCTTATTGCAGGATATGAACTATTAATATAATATTAAACGCTCTAGTTAAAATAACTGTTCAGAACTTAAGCCGAAATATAAGTGTTTGTAATTGATGATACTAGTTTATATTTAGTAAAAACTTTGAAGCGTTAGGTGAAAGGGTTTCGAAGTCATATTGTGACTCAGACTTTATTGTTGTTAATAGTACATGAGACAAAAATCACTTTTCTATCATTTCTTCTCTCTTGATTCTTTTTAAGTGTTGACAATTTCCTTAAAAAGTTTTATTTTATTTTCAAAATCTCCAGAGTAGAGTATATTAGAAAAATGTAAATAAAAACATATTAAAGTAGTTTAGTTTCTATGTTTTTAAAATTATATTGTAAATCCTTGAATCCCCGTTACTATCTGAATACTCTACTAGTATTAAAGACAGAACATGATTGTTTTATAAAAATCTAAGTTATTATGTTATATATACCATATATAGAAAGAATATTGATTAAGGTTCGATCTACAACTGCACCTCGATTATCCAGATCTCTATTAACTGGAAACATCTGTTAACAGATATTAACAAATATTTTCCGTATAATGCTCATACATGTATATATGTATGTATTTATGTATATTCACTTATTAAAATTCGGGAATTTTCCCTTTATTCTTAAAGACAGTCCTAGGCTAAAACAATCCGATAAATCAAATATCGATTTCGCAATGAATAAATCGTTTCTGCAATAAAGATTTAAGGGAACTCCAATTACAGGTACGTTGTCTCGACTTGAGGCATTTTATAAATTTAAATTGATACTCGATTGTGAATTTCAGTCGAAATGATAACTGAGAAGGCACAAGTTACTCATTTTAAACTGAATGCAAATTTTGAGTACTCATCTCATCTCATACTCATCTGGTTGGCTGAAAAAATTTAAGAAATGACTTGAAATTCGGCGATTAAAATCAAATCATCGATATTTGAAGGCGACTTAGAAGAATTCATTCAAAACGAACAGATTTACAATGCACATATATCCAGTATATTTTGAAATAATTTACCTTAGACCTGGTGGTGAATGTTTTATTAAAGGATGCAAGGAGTTCAAGTGGATTTGGTAAGTATGACGAAAAAAACTAATTTATGCAATGACCAAGAACATACAAGTGTAAATAGATAATAATTAAAAAAAGTGCCCAACCATGAACTTCACAAAACGCTGGACCCTTCTCGTGATTTATAAGTCTGTTTAGAGAGCTTGGTGTATACATAAACTATTTCTCGAATGATTTAAAAAACAATATTGCATTGGAGCATTGATCTCGAAAAGAATGGTAACAATCGTTTTCATATTGAACTACTGTCTAGCACACCCAGATGTAAGTGCAAAGATATTTGTAAACGTTACAAATGTCATTATAATTGAAAGATAATAGATAAATATAAATAGATTTTCTTCTGTTCAATGATTCTAGTTCGAGGACAGTCTGGTTCAGCTCCTTGAGCAAGTATTCTTAACTCCTGACAACTGAAGCTCAAAAACTTGGTTCAGTGATTGGAACACTAAACAACGTAACTATATTGGAACTAAAACGTTTGAATTTCTCTACTAAATCGAATTCATGTTCATTCATATAGGTAAGAGCTTATAGAAAATATTGATATCTACCTATTAATAATATTTATAATATGTGTGTAAATATAGAAAATAGGTTCCTGTTTTTTAACAATTTGAACACCCTTTTGTTTGGGCAATATGTACAATATATGATTTCATTTTATTGGCTTCTGTAACGACTTCTTTGGATCTAATATAAATGTGTTACTTACTAATATGAACGTGCACATAGTTATATATATAATATATTTAATGTATGTAACATAGATCATATTGTCACGCTTAATATCAATTATTTATATTTTTGTTTAAATCAATGTTTACCATATTTTATTTATTATCTTTTAATTTATTGCTATTATTGTGCAGGTATATATATTTTATTTTTAATTATTTCACTTTCAATTTTTTCTTATATACCAATTTTACCAAGTTTTTAGATAAAATTAAATTTAACATAAGATTCTGTTTTATTAAATTTATGCCTAATATATAATACTAAATTTATATACATTTTTAATATATGAGGTCAATACTCTATTTAGAATTTAGACAGTTTAGACTTTCATATATATACGTATATGTATATATGTGTATGTTGAGACTATTGTAACTCTATAAAGGAAGTTATATCAGATTGTGATACACTTCATATATTTCTTAAGGAACTTCCAAAAAGTTATATAAAGAATATTATTCATAGACTCAATCTATCTTCATATAAGACTGTAAGATATGGACATTCATGGTAGAAGTCTCCAACCAACTTACTATTTTTGAACCAAAATCACTTTGACAAATCTATGGTCACCTGATCTCGAAAATAATACCTTCAAAATTTGTTACTATGTCAAATTAGAGCAACTGTCCAACTATGAAATTATGATTTATTTTGTTAAAGCACAACATATATATAAATTGGCTTCTAATCTATCTAAGGCATCTATAAAGAGGATGTTAGCACATATCAATTGTTCCCTAAAAATAAACAAAATGACTCTAGTGTCAGAAGAAGACCGAAAACCGGTAGCCAGATTTAATAAAAGCGGCTCTGAGAATTATCAATATAAGGAATTACGAAATAAAGACTATTACTCAAGTATATTGGCGAAACAGTACAGAAGAAGCTTTGATCCACATCGGGTCGTAATAATGATGAATGATGATCTATTGTGGATATACTATTTGTAATACATATTTGTTACATTTTTTGACTGTTGACAATTTAAGTTGACTTTTATTTTACCTCCCAGCCAGTAATTACCAAATGATTGCAGGTTTGTTATAATTTTAAATTGCGTATGATAAGCTCAAGCAATTTATTTTATAAAATACATATATTTTATTAATGACATGGCCCTTATGCCCTTACCAAAAAAATAATATCTTAAAATAAGCCATGCGAAACTGGAACGTAAGCGATGAGACAACCTAAGGTCATGCGGCCATGAAATATCGCAGAAGGAAAACTGACACGAAATAGAGTTAGTTATTATTCTGTTATTGTTGTTGTTGTAACCCGCTGAGACCTGCTTATCAAGTCCTTTTGAGAGATGTCGAACGGCACTTGGTCGTCGCTGTTGACGAGTAGCTCTGGGACATAGAAAGTATTACTTTAGATCTTTTTATATCATTGATCCAATTATATTATCGAAAGTATTACTTTGGATCTTTTTATATCATTGATCCAATTATATTATTATGACCATAAAATCAATAATTTTATAAACAATTCAGTTCTTTATTAAATATCTTTAAATAAAGATTTATATAACAAACAGTGATTTATATAACTATATAGTTTGTAGACATATATATAATATTTTTCTTTGTACAATTTTGTTAATATAAATTCTTACAAAATTATATATTAATATTTATATAAAATTAGGTACTTCAACAGAAGAAATATATATTAATAATTTTATCTTTATCTTATCTATATGCAATATGTGCATATATATATATATATATGCAAATTATAGTCTTTTAGTTTTTTTTTATTCTCTTATTCTCTATAGTATATACATTTAACCGATTTTACGAGACTATCAAATAGAAGTAGTGGATTTCATCAGGCATTAAACATAGTAACTTTTTTTTTTAATGTGTACATGATTGACTATAATCAATAGATTATTTAAGATTATATAAGAAGACTGAAAATATCACGGTATAATTGTAACAGATTTTCGTTTTAAAAAGAGATCTAAAAATAAATTTAAGTACAAATTTTATTTTAAAGATTTTTAGTTTAATAAATTGTAGCTAATATGAGTAATTATTATTACCAAAAATAATTTTTTTATTAAATAAAATTTTGGATTAATTTAGAATTTTATCCCAAAAAACGATTTAAAATAAAACTATCAGTTTAATACATTATATTTAAGAAAAATGGTTTTGTTCTTTAAGATTGTTTCAAATGTTAATATATTAATGTATTAAATGTTAATATTATCCATGTAATCACAATTAAACTATAGATCTATACTTGCATACAGAATATGTAAAACCTCACATGCGTTATATACTTTAAAACTTCATTCATCCATGAAAAGATTATTGTACCAGGATCCGGGTCATTTTTATAAAATTTCAAGGGGTTATTTATAACAACTATTGTCGCAGAACGATCGTTCAAGCCAGGACTTCGGATCAGTTTTATAAAATTTACATAACTTTTTACAGCAAGTGTTGTCGAGAATCTTTATCCATAGTAATAACATATCCGAATTATTAAAATAAAATTGGTTAGTAGTTATTAACGACAAGTGTTACTTGCTTTAATGCTCTTCAACTTTGTATAAATATTAATCATATTTAAATTTTGGATTAATTTTATAAAAAATTAAATCAACTTTTTTAAAAGCAAGCGATCGATCTTTGTTGTTGTTATTCACCCATAAACTCCAATAATCCATTAGAAGATTGTTCATAACAGAATCCTTTGTCATTTCAAAAACCTTTATAATTTTTTTAATAGTGGATATTGTCGTTGTTCTTTTTCGATTTAAAAGTCCATATTCTTTAACAAATGAAGCCCTATGCTTCACTAGGACAGAAGCACAGCAGTAAGTAAGTGTTCTTTTACAAATGGGACCCTATATTCCAATAGGGTCTTCAATCATTTTCATAAAATGCAGAAATATTGTTTAAAGGAAGTTTAATCGTTGTTGTTATTATTCAATAGAACGCTCGACTATTTCATCTGAAGTTGGTAAGGAGAGGACGTTTGAGCAGTAGACGTTTAAGAAGATTTTTTTTATAGTAAATGTTATAGCTGTTGGTTTTTTATGCCAGGACTTCGTGTCATTTTTAAAAGACTTAATGAAATTGTTTATAGTAAGAAATATTGTTATTATTGTTTTTGTATTTAAAGTTCCTTAAATCCATAGCATAATTATTCACAATAGGGACGACTATTTTAATATGTATAATATGAAAAGATATTATAAAACAATTGTTTCCATTGCTGTTTTTAACTCTTTCAGAAGTTCATAGACAAATTACTTATTTATTTAACTCGAGCTGGACTGATTTTATAACTCAGGAGAGCTGTAATAACTATAACAATTTGAACTTGAAATTTTTGTAGTAGTTGTATGTAGTGTATTATTCCTGAGGAAGAATGCTTTATTCACCTTCTTTAAAGATGTTGAGAAATCGTTGATAGAGAGTTGTTTTGGAAAATATACTCTATGATTTTATAGAATGTATTATGTTAGTTGAGGTTCGAATTGTCGAGCATCATTTTTTCGTCAGCTATAATATACATACTGAATAGCCTTCGGTACAAATATTAGCCATTTTATGGTAATCAATCGAATTATATAATTTATTTGAGTTACTTATGGAATCATATAGTTTTACTAGTGCTTAATGCTTGATTTTAAACACCTTTAAAATCGGTAGTTCTGTAAAAAAAAAACTTTTTATTAGTTCAATATATTTGAAATATATCTAAAGTACTCACATTCATACATTATCAGATAATATGAAGACACGATCAAAGTAAAAAACGAAATTCAGATTGCTGTTGTTGACAGTATTACGTATATTACGTATATGTAGTTCTTATAAAAAATAATGGTGAAAACACTTATTAGCAATGTATATTTATATATATATTCAAATACTGTTGTTGCTTTTATGGATCGTCGTGCAACGTTTTTGATACGTTTTTGTTATTTTATGAAGTTATGTTCTCCAAAACTATGTTATGTATTATTATATATATTCCCGAAAATGTTCAAAAAAAAACATTCCAATAATAATCATTATTTTTTATATTACTTTCGAGCACATCATTACAAACTATCCACAGTTTACTGTATTGGATTTTTATTATATGTATGTGGCTGTTATTAGCTCCTAGCATATTAATTTTGTTTACAATAATATATTTATATAGCGATCCAGCTCTATTAACTTAAACACATCATATATCGAAACTTTATACTATACACCACTGGCTGTCGTCTGAATTTCGATTTTCATTCTAAACTTTTAATGAACTTATAATTGAATCTTATATAAACGAACAACTTAGTATTAATATCAGGACCATTATTGGAAATATAGCATAGATTTCAGTACGTGGATGACATGTTGAGATCAAATAGGTTATATCGTCTTCTTCGTGTTCGATACCATCGCGTGTTGGCACCTCAACTACAACAATTTCATCGGAGAGAAATCCAATCGAAAATGTACAGTTCGTTGCATTCACACAGCCTTGTGCATCACTGACATTTGAATATTGAAACGTTGGTTTATAAATATCGAATATGGCGTGTATATCATTGCGTACAAGGTCATTATCACTATAGAAAATATAGTAATAATAACCATCTTCGGTGATTTGATGTTTTGACAGCATACGATGTGAACCGTTCTCCAGAAAATGTGCATTTATGCAATCGGGCGTTGGTGCAAAACCTTCCGCCAACAGTATATCACCATTATAGCATTCGAACAGACCAGTTTCAAAACTTGATATTGAATTGGATTCATCGGTTTCGGTAAAATTTATAGCATTACCACCGTGACTGTATTTGCGATCGTAAACTTGTTCACGTTTGTTGCGTTGCTTGTATAGCTGATCGTAAACCTGTTGTTTACGCTGTTGACTGTCGTTTAGATGACGCCTATGAACGGTTTTATTAACTGGCTGGGCTACAGTAGTAGTTGAATGTTTATTTGCGGAATGGTGGCGGCGTTGACGATTTGTAGTTGTTATAGACGAATCACTACTTGATTTAGTTGTTGTTATATGATCTATATTGTTTGTTGTGAGATGATTTGCATTGTTAGATATATCTTCATTTCTATTATTGCGTGCTGTATGTAAAGTGCCTTTTTTAAGTTTTTTACGCGGTCGTTTAGTAGTTGTTGTGGATGACGTACTTGTGTCTACACTGTCATTGTAATTATAGTCGCCATCACTAAGATCTTCACCCGCATGATTTTCTATTTCCATATTATTTTTTTTATCATTTGTGCTGGTTTCTTGCGAAATTTTCTTTTCTACTTCATCGACTGGTATATTTTCTGCTATCTCCGTTATATCTTCAAAGAACACTTTCACCTGCTCATGTCCTTGTGCGAAATTTGCCCCTAATTTGTTTGTATTATGATCGAGTAGATCACAAGTTTTAAGATTACGTTGACCTTTAACGACAAGTAATCGGGAACCATCATAGCGGGAACAAAATTTCAGATGTACTTTAGCACCCTTCAACAAAAAGAAACCCCAGTACTCTAGTGTGTCATCGGGTAATGTCATTGATTTCTTCAGGCGTATATGTTTACGATTTGTAGAAATTTCTGGTTTACTGCTTAACTGAAATGCATTAAAGTTAGTGCTCATATGTAGTGAATGCTGTTGACAGAAAATTGATGAAATTCCATCACGTATTTCAATTATATCTGATTCAGCTACAGGATATGTGACATCTGCAAAAACCGTCTTACGCAGATACAATGGAACGATGATGAGTGTTGCCGGTAATATGACAATCATAATGCAAAAGACGAGCACACGCTTAACGCCATGCATTTTATGCGTCTCTGAAATGATTAAATAAAGAAATAAAATACTTATTAATTATTTGAATATATAGAAAATAATATTGAAAATATATTAAAACACTATATGTATTATGGTACCTTCGAAATAATACTCAGTAACCTGCATTGTTGAGCTGAATTGCATTATTCTAATACTGAGAAGTAAAATTTCTGTCAACACTTTACGATCGAATGAGTCTCCACTCAGTCTATTTACACTTATAATTTAAGTGGCTCGGTAGATTTAATAAGTTTCTTTCCAGCTCTTAACTGTAGCGTTTGCGATAATCAAATGAGGTGTTATTATCGACTTACTTACAGTATCAGCCCAAAATCAACAACATAACTTTACGCTGAGCGGCAATTAAGCATTTTTACATATATTTTTAGATACCTTTATGGCGCTACTCCCTGCACTCTACACAATATATTGAACTATACTATAGATTCTATAGTTAAGATAAGGCAATCGGTCTTTGTTAGACTTTCTTTGCTGATATTAGAAGGCAGCACGTGTTGACGCAGAAAAACGATCGTAAATAATAGTTATAAATTATTTTATAACCATTCGTAGACCGCATGTAGCGGTACGGTTTTTGGTTTTTTTCCAGTTTGCTTTTCAGTTAACAACTCTGTTTAGATAAAGTACGGACCAAAAAACCTCAAAGCGGTATACAAACAGGTTGCTTAAGTTCAGTCAATATTTTCGTCGCCAGATGTAAATTTTTAAAGTTTTGGGTATTAAAGTACTTAAGATTTCAGCATATGGAGCAACGAAGATTAAATTGTGAGTTAGCATATTATAGAATAAAAATTTACAACAATTAATATTTGATAAATGTATCTATCGAAATGTTAACCCTCCTGTAACCGACTATTACGACTCATTATTTGATGTATACATCGATCATATTAAAGTTTTCTTCTAAATGTTAATAAAACCTTTTAAAAAAAATCAATTTTTTTTAATAAAAACCGAATATATCAACGTAATAGTAGAACATATATGATATAATTTGTTTAGTTTGAATCTAACACCAGAGAAAAGTGAATAATACAGATATCTAAATCAAGCATTACATTCATTCAAGTTCTAAAAAGTTTTTTTTGCTCAAAAAAGCTTTCTCTCACATAAATCAGTTGGGCACAACATTTGTTTACGTTCTCAAAAGCTTTTTTTTGCCCAAAAAGCTTTCTCTCACATAAATCAGTTGGGCACAACATTTGTTTACGTTCTCAAAAGTTTTTTTTTTGCCCAAAAAAGCTTTCTCTCACATAAATCAGTTGGGCACAACATTTGTTTACGTTCTCAAAAGCTTTTTTTTTGTCCAAAAAAGCTTTCTCTCACATAAATCAGCTGGGAGCGTGGACATTACACTTGATCGTTATTATTATTATTTTTATTTTATTTTTACAATTGTAACAAAAACAGCCAAGGAACTTTATTTGTGTTTGTGAAATACAACAACACATCTTTTTTTTACAAAAGCTGCACAGAAAATTATCTTTAAAAACTGTTTAAACATTGGTTAAAATCAGTCACAAAAAGAAGCCATTATTACAAATTGTGCAATGGGTTATACTAATGGGTTAATTTACAGAAATATCTTAAACATTTTTTTATTTATGATTGGGATGTAGCATTCTGTTCGCAACACCTATTTTTGCGTAATCCCAAAGAACGTCAGAGGAGATTTTAGTAATGGATAGTGATGGACCAACAAAATAGTAAAATGGCTCTTAATTATTTTTTAGTATGTAATGTATTTTTGTGCAGTAATCAATCTGATGAAGTATTTCTTGCTACAGTGAAGGGGTAAATGTATATAAATTCAGATGTAATAAGGTATGGATGATAGGATGTGACAATATAAAATATGCGTTTCTTAAGTACTATAGAACGTTGTGTTAAAAAATTAAATAGGTGCCTAGTTCAAAGGGTTACCAATCTAAACTACTTTTAGGGACTTACAACCTAAAACACATCAAGGATTACATAGAACAAACGTTACGAGATTATTAACCGGTCACTGTATATTGAATAATCACCTAACAAAGTTAGAAATCCAATCCAACTGCAGATACTGTAGAAAAGAGAGAGAAACTGCATATCATGTGCTAGTGGTGTGCCCGGCACTGATGCATAAGTGGAAGAAAAACCTAGATGGGTATTTTTTGAATCATAAGGATTCAAGACTAGGAGGATAGGCTCAATGCTGTCTTTCATTAAAGAAATCAGAATTGGAGAAACACTCTAATCCGACTAAGGCACACAATAGATTTTTCAGGTCGCAGTGTACTATCCCTTTTTTATAATAATATATAATAATTCAAATAAATTATTATATATAGATAATACATTTATTAACTCCATCTGTCAATCCAAAATAAACAAAGAAAGAGTTTTAAACTTTCAATAAAAATTTTAAAAATGTAAGATTTAAGTAATTTTCAAATTATACAAGACGGACCTCTTCAGTACTACTTTCTTACAATAAACCTTTTAAAAAAATGGATCTTTTTATAAATCATATCATATCACTGATATGTTCGTATTTCTTGTGTTTTTTTTATTATCCTTTACTGCTATTTAAGTTACTTAATGAAACATTAGAGTTATAGATGGCGCCGCAAAACAATACAGAAAATTTTTACAAGAAGTAATGTTAATAAGTATTCAAAAATTTTATTACAGGTCGAGCCTCTGCAGTGTGTGAAAGAACGATATCAGTGCAGTTTTTATTGTTTTTAAGATATCGTTATCACTGTATGGTATATTTGTATTATATGTCAAATGAGTTGACATGGTATTACGCGATAATATATATGTATTGAATAAAATCAGTGAAAGGAATTGTACACAGTTCAACAGACTATGAGAAAGAGTTAATGTTAGAAGAAAGAAACTTAATAAAGTAGAAAGGTTTGTTTGAATGGAATATGGATTACAAGACAATACAACAACTGATTGTCTAATCGTCAATTTTATATAAAATAAACTGATTTTGTCAAAAATTTTTTTTGTGATTTATAAAAAGGTCTGGAACACAATCCATATATCGGAAGGTACTCAATAGTATCTGCACTGGGTATAAGGAAAACCTTAAACGATGTAGATGAACTTTATAGTATGTAATGTCTGATGTTGAAATAAATAGCGAATATTATAAAATGTGAAGCTTTCCCTTATCACTTATCTGACAAAAAAGATTGTGTTTATGTTTTGCACTTGTCGACAATTTTATTTGTGTAATATTAACGTAGATTGATAAAAGAAAATTAAGTTAAAAATTGTTGATAAACACTCAGCTGACGCCGTTCTATTTATGAAGCATTTTAGTCATTCTAAATATACAGTCAAACCTACCTAACAGCAAAGATAATATGTAAAATGCAGTGTTTGAAACACGAAATTTGATTTTAAATCTTAGTATATTAATATCAATAGCTTATGTCTTTAATACTAACAAGACCATATATATAATATATAGTACATTATTTGAAACGATTTTTCATATACCTTACATTTGAAATAATCAATTTTCTCAAGTCTTTACTGTACTTTTAACTATAGCAGAGAAAAATATTTATCCGCACAAATTAAAAAATTGTGCTTTACTTGCATACAAATGAAATTTGTTGATAACTTAAATTTGAAGTTATCAAATTTCTCAGGTTTTCACTGTACTTTTAAGAATGACAGAGAAAATTATTCTTTCGTACCAACTAAACAATTGCGGATTAATTTCATACAAATAAAATCTGTTGATACCGCAGAGCAAGTCAGAATTCGCAACAACTGAAGTTGATTCCTGTCTCTAGTCTGAGTAAGCCCGCTGCAAGGCGTCAATTTAAGTGCTTTGGCAGTGGGAGCTACGATGTGCGTATTTGGTAAAAAACCCACAAAAGAATTTTTGGGTATAACTAAATTACAGATTTGATTTTAATTGGAATTTTATTGAATTTTTTTTTCAGCTACACGCAATTTGTGTCAGCAAGAAAGGGAATATTGTACCCAAGCTAGGGTATTAAGCAGTAGTAAATCGATAAGCCTATAAATAGGGTTCGATAAGAGTGCACGAAATCAATAGTAAATACAGTTTACACATTACATGCCAAGCAATTATAGACATGATTTTCAATTCTGTGTCTATTGTAGATGGCGATGGCGATTTAAAAAAACCCAACAAAAATGAATTTCAGTATTACATATGTATCACTTTAAATAAGTAAGTAAGGTGTTTAAATAAAATATTTAACACTAAAAAGTAACATGAAAGAATTTTTAGACTTGAAACAATCACGTTATATCTTTATATAATTGTAAACAGTTAATTCATTGTATATTTATTCACTGGTTACATTATATATAACGAATTAGCGACAAAGAAACCTCTCTACACATACTAAGAAAATTTGCCATCTCTTATGCATTATAGGAGAAGAATGTTCCCCAAAGAATTGATCTACAAAACAGAGTGCTCAAATATCGACCTCAGAAAGATTAAGTGCTTTATGGATATAGCTGAACTGAATGAAGCCATTCAGTGATTTTGCAAATGGTAAGATACTTTAGTCCAATAATGAACACAGTGTCAAGTTATAGTTCTAGCAGTTAGTTACAACAACTTTAACTATTATTATTGATATAGAATGTCAGTGAAATCACAACCGTGCCTACTGGAAAATTCATACATTAAAATTTAGTTTTTGAAAACATTCATATTCCTGCAAGTAAGTGTATGTTAAGATTTTATAGTTTCTTGTACTGCATGAAGGAGACATAGGAATCTTAATAAACCATACATTAGGTGGATTGATATATACCTGGTCTAACTAATAAAAACACTTATTCGTCCTCTCCGCACTTATGCCTTCCCTTTTTTGGTCTGCCATCACTTCTGCTCAGATGGAAAGAACCCGCCTGTTTGAGCGGAAACTTCTTCGTGATTGCACCAACTATAAGCGCAAGCCTAATGGCAAGCACTTCTCTATCTCCA